ATTGGTATGTTATGTGTTTCTATAAGAATATGTTAAAAAATATAATTACATGAAAGCTGATTAAAGAGTTACATACCTGTGCATTTCCTATGAATAAGATTCTTACAAAGGCTGCATTTCAAATATTTTTGCCTTCCATAAATTGTTGAATGACAATTGTGACATTTGAAAGCCATTTTTTAATCTTCAATCAAATGTAGATGGTTATCTAAAAATATTTCCAGTTATCAATAAATTTCCTTTCCAAATATTCAAAATGGCTGAAATTTTATTTATGAAAAATATTCAGCTTTTTCACAATTGAAGATAGTATATTACATCAAAATATCATGAATCAACAATCTCAATGATTAGATATAAATACTCACTTCTGTTGAAGCTTCCAAGAAGAACTTTGTCCAAATTTATTCAGTAAATATAGCTTTACTTTTGCAAGGATAAATATTCCAAGTGAAAGTTTATTTAATAACACTATCACTATTAAAATGGCTGCTATTTCACTTTCAACAACATTTTCTTTTAAAGTAGTAATTTAATATTGATGGGATATGTATTCTATTTAATATCTGCATTCTATCAAATCAATATATTAACAAATATATAATGAAGGAACAGAAGGAAAAAAGGGTGTCAATGTACATGTTTATTCAAAAATTCAAAAATAAAATAAATATAAAAATAGGGTGCGAACGTACCTGGGTACGTTCGCACCCGCCCAGGGTACGTTCGCACCCGCCCAGGGTACGTTCGCACCCGCCCAGGGTACGTTCGCACCCGGGTACGTTCGCACCCAGGTACGTTCACACCCGACCCCTAGAATTTGGGATACACACAACAATATAATATGGAAAAGAAGAAGGCAGGACTGCTGAAACAAGTTTTGGCATTACCTTTTCTTCCAGATGAAGCCATTCTAAACAGTTTCTACATGCTAAAAGATGAGGCCTTTGAGAGAAATGAATTTTTGGATTTTTTCCAATACATTGAAAGTACTTGGATTAAGCATTCAATTTGGACACCAAATTGTTGGTCTGTATTTGGTCTTGCCATCAGGACCAACAATGATGTTGAAGGATGGCACAGAAGAATAAATGAAAAGACTCCTGCAAAAGGGTCATTTTATATGCTCATAGATATTTTAAAACAGGAATCAAGTCTTATTCCAGTTGTAGAGAAACTTCTATCAGAAAAAAGGCTAAAGAAGTATCAGAAGAAAAGTGTCATCCAGAAGCAGAAGCAAGTATTTGCTGTTTGGGATGAATACAAATTGGGAATGATTACATCTGCTGTCCTCTTGCAGAAGATTGCATTAATCTATTCAAAATAATTCTCAGTGTCTTAACATACTTTATACTTTATTCTAGTAACTTTTAAACTTTGTATAACATTCTTAGCTTTTTTCATTTTTAATACATTTTAATAAACATATATTCATTATTAATTATTATATTCTCAGTATATTGCCATTGGTTCCCAAAATAGAGCAATCTTTTTTAAAATTCAAATATCTTTTCCCACTACTTGTTTTTCCCAACCTTGGGACATTTTTTCCTAACCTTGGGACGTTTTTTCCCACACTGGGACGTTTTTTCCCACCCTGGGACGTTTTTTCCCAGGGACGTTTTTTCCCAAGGATGTTTTTTCCCATACTCTTTTCAACTTATTTGCTTTTTTAAGTTAAGTTTCTTAGTTATAGACTTTTTCAATTACTGTATATTATAGTTATAGTACTTTTTTTAATAATGGTGTGGAGTAAAGATATCAGAGAGCTTGTAGTCACAAAATATGCAGAAATAAGGAAATTAAGGGCCACAGCAAGGGTTTTAGGAATGGCATCATCATCAGTAAGAAACATCATCAACTATAAAGAGCCAGAGCAAGACAATAGACAATATAAAAGAAGCTTTCAGACAGAGAGATAGCCAGAATGAAAAGGATCATCAAGAAGCTGAAAGATAATAAGGAAAGAGTGACAGCAGCAAAGGTTTTGAAAGAATTAGAAGTAGATGTAAGCATTAGAACCATTCAGAGGGAGCTAAAAAGGCAAAATTTCAAATACCAAAGAATCAGGCAAAGAACAGATCTCACCTCTAAAGATTGTAACCAGCGAAAAGAATATTGCCTCAAAATGATTAGTGATAATCTAGACTGGTCTAGAGTAATTTTCACCAATGAGGCTAGATTCTCACTAAGTGGACCTGATGACTTTAGGACCTGGACCAACAATAGCCAAGAGGACTTTAGGGTGACGAAAAATATGGGAAGAGGTGGAGTATTGGTCTGGGGGTTGATCACATCTGATGGCGTATTCGAAGTATGGAGGATAAAGAAAAGATTAAATGCAGAAATTTATAGCTCCTTCATTGTGGAACATGTTCTTCCTGTTATAGAAGAGATTGAGGCAAAAATGGGCAGGAAGTACATCTTCCAGCAAGATAATGCTGGCTTACATACAGCAAGAGCAACAGCAAGGGCCTTTAAAAAAAATGAAATTAAGACCATTGATTGGCCAGCAAGGAGCCCCGACCTGAGCCCAATCAAAAACATGTGGCACCTAACAAAAACAATGGTCTACTATTGGCCACAGTTTGAGTCAGAGGATGAATTATGGGAAAAAATTAAACAGTGTTCCTATGAGCTCATAAAGAAGAATCCAGAGTTGCTTCCAAATTTGTATGATGGAATGGGCCATAGGATTAGTAAATGTATCGAAAGGGAGGGTTGGCACATACAAAGATAAAGAAAATTTGAACTCAAAAGATTATGTGCCAATAATCATGTTGTTTGGCCAAATAAGAAAAAAAATTGTAAAACAATAGTAATTTTTATAAAAAAAAAATATGTAAAAACTTACCTAAATGCTTTCTGAAAGAAACTTATATAATATTCCAGGTTTAATCTATAATTTAAGACTGAGAAAATAAAAATAATAATCTTTCTTCATAATGAAAAAGACATGTATGATTAGTCAGCTTGAAGGCTCATCTGTAATTACCAATAAAGGTTTGGCCAAGTTATAATTTTATTAGCCTTCCTAAATGTTGAACCTTGTAACATCCTGTTACTAAACATAAATATGAACTACACATTTCAGCAACTGTAAAGTGATGATTGGATGTCAGAGGCAAACCTCAAAGTATATAAATCCTGGGATCAACAGAAGTTGCCCAGGACAGAAGTCGCCCAGAAATAGGCAGAAGTCACCCACTACCCATGGCAGAAGTTGCCCAGGACAAAGACAGAACTCGCCCTGTGCACTTATTAAAATTCTATAAATAGACAAAGTTAAACAAAGACTATTTTTTTCTTGTACATTTTAAACATACAGTTGAAAGTTATATCATACAATGCATTCTCATTTAAGAAAGGAAAAGACATTCTACTCTATAATGGATTTGCATTCAATGTAAAGTTTATGAAAGACAGCTATACCTTATGGAGATGCAGTGTTCGCAATAAAAAGAAAATATGTCCTGCTACAATTAAACAAAAGGGTTTAACATTTATTGAAAGCACAATGGAACATTGTCATGAAAAAAAATAGCCTCTCAATGGAAATTAAAACAAGAACAGACTTGAGAGAAATATGTTTATTTGATTTAAAGTCATCAGGAAAAGTTATTGCTGAAACTGTACTGTTGGACTACAGCAAAAGAGTTGAACAACTTCCTAAACTGGAAAATTTACAGTGCCTAGTTAATTTGACAAGACAAAAGATTCGCCCAATTGAACCACAAACATTAAATTTTGATCTAAATATGGCATTTATACCAGATGGTTTCCTTCAAAGAGATTTCTATAATGAAAAGGAAAGAATAGTAATGTTTGCATCAATGAAGCAATTGGAATTGCTAGCAAAGAGCAAGGTATGGTATATGGATGGAACTTTCAAAGTGGTAAAACAACCTTTTTACCAACTATTTTCAATACATTCATTATGTTTTCCTACATAACTGGTGAAACATCTACAATCATCTGTATCAATGCATAATCCTCTATTGAAGCAAATCCCTTTGCAAAATGCAATAAGGAAGTGCATTTCACAAGCTTGTCAGTTTCAGTTTTAGTTCAGTTAAGTTCTAGCTTGTTTAGAGCTAGAAACTCATTTACTCAATAAATATTCTTTGGATGAAATGTTGGTGTTTTATTGGTTAATTTCTTGCTAAATTTCATTTATTGAGACTACTTGTGGACAAAATTGAATGGTTCTGTTTGTGTGAGTACTTTGGAAGATTGGTACATGATTGGAAAAGATGAATTTAATTGTGACAAACCAGAAGTTCCTACATTTACAATACAACAAAGTACACTAGGGATCAGTGAGACTCTAATGGTAATCCAACTTATGTTTTAATCTTAGAATGAGGGCACTCTCCCTCTCCACAAAAACCAGTAAAATTTCCTGTAAAGTCCAGAGAATTGACTACAAAATAATAATTTAATCTCCAATCAAAACAAATTTTTGGGCTCATTCAGCTATTAAAAAAGATTTATTATTTAACCAATTAAGAAGGAAATTTAAAAGTTTATCAATTGTACTACATTACTGAGGTTCATTAAGTTTTCAACCTTTTTTTTTAGTAAATCATTTATTTGTAGATACTGAGATACTTGAAATGATTACAAAATTTGGTGGAAGTTAGTGAAATAACTAACCCCTTTTACTCCTGATATTTTTGGTAAATATTCTCCATTGTTGTTCTGATTGATACCTCTCTTCACAACTGTAAAAGTCTAGTGAGACATTCTGTTGAACACCAACATTTATAGCTGATTTAGCAAATGAGAGAAATTTCATTCTTAATGGGACATGTATAAAGCATAACAAAATGATTGTCTTTATCATACTCTATGTCACATACACTATTACAATACTGTTTCATTACAAAAATGTAGATATTCGTTACAATTTTTTATGTTGTATTGGGTTAAAGTTTTTGTCATTGAAATCAAATGAAAAGAATATGATTATAAAAAGAAATCAAGGAAAATTTTTTTATCTATACTAAATTGAGGCTAAAACTTAAAATAGATATGAAAAATATCATTGCAACATCTGATTTTATCAATGTTCCTCCTAGAAAAAATAAATTATTTCAGATGAATAAAATAATATAAAAAAAAAGACATTTAAAAGAGCTTACCACCAATGAAATGAACTGTTTTGGTAATTTTAGCTGTCACTCCATCAATTTTGTTCATAGCTGTACACTCATAAAAATTATTTTTACCAGCCCAACTCTTTTCAACAACCAAATTGGCACTGTTTGCTACAACCATTGTAGAATTTAACTTTAATATAAAAAAAGAAAAAAAATCAATAGATTATCCCTTAATCCCTGTTGTTGTTTCTTTACTTTTCTCCACTCATAATTGGGTAAAGGATTACCGGATGCTACACATTCAATTGATTTTCCAACATCTACTCTAAGTGGGCCTGAGTAAGGCTTTTGTTCAGGTATTGTTCTTATATCCCGGACACTATCTAAACATGAATTGATTTTGATAGGAAAAATATACATATATATATATATATATTCATATTTATTCATATTTACAAAAGATCCTCAATGGTTTCCTTTTGCTGTCAAGAGTAATATTTTTATGATTATCATAAAACAAGCTTACTCTACAGGAATAGTTGTAATTATCAATGTCTGGCTTTGCAACAATATAGCCAACATCTACCAGTTTATCATGATATTTTATAAAAGAACGATGGGAAATATGAAACCGTACACCATTCTTCAAATATAATATCTGTACACTTAAAGCACCGGTTACTTCCATTGTACATGTGAAATTCATTGTGACATTTTCATAAATGGTGTCATTGGGGAAAATTTCAAATACAGGATTGGTATCTTTATTTAAAAAGTACTCTAGTTTTTACAATGTTATGAATGAATAATAAATAATCCTTACCATAAACTAAAACAGGTACAATGCAAGTTATAGTAGTGTTTTCACCAACAATATAAGCATGATACTCATCACCATCACTCTTCATTTCAAACATATTCAAAATAGTAGAGTTATACAACTATATATATTTAAACTTACTTACTTTCTTGATATCCTTTAACTCAAATAGATAATTTGTACTTTCTTCATTTGGGCTGACTACCCATCTGTTTTCTAAGCTTGAATGAAGGTTGGGAGTTTCATAAATTAATTCACCAGTACTTCTCTTTAGTATTAAACCTCTCTTCTCTGAAAGAGAAACATTTAAATTCTAATTATTTTTAAGCTTTTAGAAAAATTTTAATAGAAAAAATAATCTTTACCACTTAGACTAAATGAAATAAATTCCTGATGTCCAACTCTGAAAACTTTCCTGCTAGGACAGTGAGTAAAGGTGACTATAATTTAAAGAGGGAAAAGAGCCATTATTTAGTTATATCTTGTATAAATAGCACACTAATTTCGATTTATACCTGATAAAGATAAAGAAGTACAACTTAACAAGATCAGTATGGTTATCAATTTCTCTGCAATTGTCATCATTACCACTGGCATGCTCTTGCTCTCTCTCACTCTAGTTTTGCTCTTTTATATTAATATTTCTTGCCATATAGGAAATTACTACTCATGGTAAAAAAAAATACTCCACTTGTCATACAATAAATAACAGATAAGTTAGCAACAATTTTAATCATTGGCATTTTTTTATAATATTTAAGATAAGATAAGAAATTTTCAATAAGCAATAAATTGTTAGATAATAGATATCTCTATAAATATGTCATACATTAAGAAAGTAGGAGGGGAATTAGAGCACATATGTTTCTAATACTAAAAAGAAAAAAGATGTGTATTCATTGAAACAAAATATTTGTCTATTAAATAAAGATAAAGAATGCATCATATATAATTATCATCCCACTCTCTTTCTCTCTTTCTCTTAAAAAATCATATTTTCCCAGTACAGTTCATTTTTCAAACAGTTATGCTTCTTAGAATGAAAACAGTACTCATTCTACTCAAACCATTCAACAAATAATCCTGATTGAAATTTTCTTGTCCAGGAAAACTATTTTGCCCTGTGGAGAATTTATCTCACACAAGATAAGAAATACCTTCTTTAGTGAACCTGATTCTTTAACTAAATCAATACCAAAAACAAGATCTACAATACCAGCACTTAGAATCCAGAAACAAGCTGCTTTCTCATTTCCCTTATATTCAACATCAAGTAAGACTTTCTTTTCCATTTCAATATATTGACCATTTAACATGAATATATATATTTTCAATTTTGATTTTACTTTAACAATATCTACATGAGGAAGTTCTTTTAAGAGATTGATTTTGTGTAATCACATTAACATTAGAACCAGAATCAAAAATAGCGAGACAAGCAAACCTATTAGTTTTGACTTCTCTTTCATCCAAACCATTCTTATGTGTACTATTCCAAGCAAGATTTGTTGGTTTCCTTGTTTCTTCTATCTTTGAATCGACTGATGTGCAATATGTGGAAATATTGCCTGATTCTTTCAAATTTATGTTTTTGTCTATCACCATTATTATAGTTTTTATACTTTGATTCGTCTTCAAATCTTCCATTTCTAAAAAATTTCTTTTTTTGCTGATTTATCTCTTATCCCAATCTTTTACTATTTCAATGAACTCATCCACAGAAATCTTCAGATTTAAAAAGAATATCTGCAAAATCTTGAGGTGCTGGAATGATTATACTGGAAAAGGATGGAGATATGTTTGCGAAGGTCTCCATAATTCATCAAGCTCTTTACAGAATGTAGATCTTCATAAATGCAATATGAAAGAAAGTGAAAGCCTAGATTTAGGAAATCTGTTATGGTCTTGTTCCAGATTAGAAACAGTTAATATGGGATGGAATAGACTCATACAATTAAATGTCATACAAGAAGGACTTACTAAATCATGTAATTCTTTGAAGTATATCAATATTTTAAAACTGAAACTCGAAAGATATTCTGACGCTTACTTAAACACAACATTACCAGGAGCTGTAATAATTGCCAATACTCCTACTGGAATAAATCTGATATACATGATATTCTAATTCTAGTGGGCTAGGGTTGCTCTTGGCTAATTAACACAGAATTTTGTTCTTCCTGATCTTCCTGCTCATTGTCATAAAAAATATTTTTTATTTCTCCACAAAGCTCATCAGCTATTATTTCAGTTGATTCAGGTCCAAAAATTTTAATTTTAAAAAAATGTAGTAACTTTTCTATTTCTTGCCAATTTTCCATTGCTTGTAGCAATGGTTTCAAAATTGTTGTTTACATAATTTTTATATACTCTAAAAATATATTTCAACTGTAGCATCAGGTTGGCTCTACTGAAATTAATAAATGTTGGGCTGATTTTTTTTCCTTTGGGTAGCTCAACCAACTATGCATCTCTAGAAAAGAAGAAAAAATTTTAAATTTTCAGTATAGAAATACAAAATTTTGAAATTCTTGTGAAAAGTATTTTTTAAATAGAGCTTTCTTAAAGATTTCAAGTTTAAAAATTGAAATTGACTAATTTCTTTAATTTGATTATAATTCAAATTTAATTCAATGAGATTTGTTAAATTTGAAAATAATAAATGCTTGATTGTTTGTATGCGATTGAATGATAAATCTAATTTTTTCAACAAATTCAAATTTTGAAACATCTCTTCATTTAAATATTTTATTGAACTTTTTATGATTTTCAATACATTCAAACCAGATGGAAAATATAAATTCAATTTTGATAAATTCTTCAACTTTATTTCTTGTAGAATAAGAATTTTAAGTATTTTAAAATTTTCAAAGCTTTTCAAAGTGAAATTGTCAATTAGAGTTAAATTTAAAGATGTTACTATCATCATCTTCATCTTCATCATCATTGTGCTGTCAGTCAAATTAAACATTTGTATTGAACAGTTAAATATTGAAATGATTTTAAAATCTTTAAATTCTTTAGCAGGAATGTTAATCAACTGTAAATTTTTGCATTCCACAGCAAAAAAGTCACTAGAACAAGAACAATCTGATAGACATTTTGGTTTAAAACACAACATTTCATCACATCCATTTCTACAATCATACACTCCATCACAGACACGTGACATTTCAATGAATATGTCATCCAAACTGCATTTGAAATGGCCAATTTGTTTGAAATTTTCTACATATTTTAAAGGTAAAATAATTAATTCATTATCCATCAATGGAATGATTTTGAAAACAAAAGAATTAACTGCAATTAATTTCATCTTCTTCATATGGACATTGCTTGATTCCGTCACAGATCAACCTATATTCAATACAATAATCACTATATGAACATTTATATTGGCCATTTTTACATGGAGCATCCCTTTGGCAGTGGAGCATTGTATATAATCCATACATAGGCTTATTTATAATTTCACCATAAGTGTTATATTCCAGCAAACATGTTTTGCTAAATTAAAAAAAAAACAAACAAACAATCATTTGCTATTTGTCTAAATTATTCAACCAGGCCAATACTTCCTACTTTTCAATTGACTGTAGACATTTGGCTGAAGGTGGTTCGTTTGGTTTACATGTATAAAACTCTTCTTCTCTCATTGGATAATTGAAGCATTTTTGTTTCTTTTTGCAAGGATATTTTACTAAAAAATAAATGGTAGATGATTGATTGATTGATTTCAAATCATTGCCTATGTTTGTATATACTTGAAAATAATTCATCTTTGAAATCTATACACAACATTTTTAGATAACTGTAATCTGAGAATTCTGATTTACACCAGTACTCAACACAACTGTCTTTGCTAGAGCAATCTTCAAAGGTTAATTATATTCATTGTTTATATTAATTATAGAATTTTATGATATACTGACTACAATACTGCTCATCTGATTTGTCCAAACAATCAACAACTGAATCGCAAACGAGGTTTGCATTTATTTCTTGCAGATTATTGCAAATAAATTTAGTTGTCATCTGTTTTGGACAATTCTCTTCATCAGATTTATCGAAACAATCATATTTATCATCGCAAACATATCTTAAATGCACACAGATAAGATCAACTGAGCAGAGGAATCCATTTTCCTTACAATCAACAATGATTTTCTTCTTATTTTGTATAAATGAATTCCAATCAATTCCACCAGGCACAGTGAATGCTGCAGAGACATTAGAATATCAACTAATTTAGTGTCTGTTTTATTTCGTTTTACATTCAAGTTGTTTTTGGCAGTAAAAAACTTTGGAAACTGCATTTTTACAAGGAGTAAGATAAATCTTTATTGGTTTAAACATGTGCATAATGAAATTTTGTTTAGATTCAGTGCATAATTTCTTTTTGTCACCATTTTGTAAATTTGTTGCCATAAGTAAACTTTAAAAAGTAAGATGTAAAACATATATGATAAGAAACAGATCAACTGGATTTGGATAGAGATTAGAGATAAATTTTTAAATTCAATAGTCCCCCCCCCCTCTCTCTCTCTCCAGTTGTTGTGTACCATGTAAGGAAAAAAACATGGTTAAATAATGATACTAAATGTTGCTTACTGAAATGAGCAGTTTTTGTTGGGGAAAATAATTCCAAATTGTTATCTTTACAAATATTCTCCACCCTTAAATGTGGTTGTTCAGTTTCAAACAAGAACCCATAGAAGCATGAATTATCCAATGACCCATTAAATGAACTATGAGGAATGAGGGGACAGTCTAAAAGTCACTTTTTGTCAAATTCATAAAAATGAAGAATATTTCAAATACCAGTTTTCTTATCACTTGAACAAGATAGACTTACTCCTAGAAAAGGGGTGTTTAAAAGTGTTGAATTGTATATCCTTTCATAAGAGCGATTGTCTATATTTGTTTCACCATAGTTGCATGTTACTGAGAAAAGTACATTTGCTACTTTATGGAACAAATTATAATCCAATATGATTTTTCCATTTGTGAATCCAAATCTTTGACAAAATATCTACAAAAAAGTTATACTCTCAATAAAGTTGTTAAAGTACTTCAAAAGAAGATAAAAGCTTAACATTTGCTTCATTTTTTCCAAATTTGAAAGGTGAAACAAGATGCCAATTGTCAAGATGAAAAACCTCTAGAATTCCATTTCTTTCCTTTCCAGATGTTGATGATGTTGATGTGTTTTCACCTCTTAATCTAAATGTATATTCTTTTCAAGTGAAAAAAAATGACATTTAGTTTCCATCATCATTGGACTAATGATTGGTCAACCTTTTGATTTAAATGTTGGATAATTGTTGTTATCAGTTTTGTTTTTACACTTTATAGGTATTAACCATCTTTGAGAATTTTCAGATTCCTTTGAACATCTTGAAGAATGTCTACAATCATAACTATTGATGTAAGGTGTATTTACAGCAATTTGAACTTTATGTAAAAAATTTCGTTGGTTAAAGAAATTTGGCTCATAATCCACTTCTTGCCCAACTTTATTGCACATAGAGATAGTAAACAAATTTAAGACATCCACTAAATTATAAGAACGATAAAAGTAAATGGTAAGTCAAAAAGTAGGACTCTGGTCATGATTTTGAGTGCTAAAGATAGGATGTGATGGTGGAGGGTGACAAATAAATAATGTTTTGCTCTGACTCTAACCTCAAGATCTAACCCGAAAACATAACCCTTTGCTTTTGCTATTTTCCATCATCAACCCTTTTTTTAAAATACACTTACATCTGAAAATTGTATATATTTCCATCCCATAAAATAGTTTGATTCTTGCTCTGTATAAGTTGGTAGTTATTGGTAATAGGAATAATCCATATTTTTGGGCAACACCAAATTGTCTTCTCTCTTTTTCAATGTCAAAGAAGAGCACAGATGTTGACACAATATGAATGTCTTCTTGTTGATATTGTATTTGTGGACAAGTGTTATTACATATCATCATTTTATTCATTCTTTTTCTAATATATTTCCGACCATCACTTTGAATGAAAATGATAAATTTTTGGTCAATTTTATTGTCACTTTGTAGTAGATTTTTTGTTTTGTTTACATAGAATATATCTGAACAGATGGCAATTATATCATTGGTGTTATTCACACAGACTTCATAAGATGTATTATTCAATCTCCCATATACAATATGTCTTTTATAGTATTTAAAATTGCTAACAACACTATAAAAATCTGTATGATAATAAGTCTACATTAGCAAATAATCATTTTCAGTTAGCTGAAGCATGTCTAAGGTTTCAGGTTGGGTAAGACTTCAAATTTTAAATATTTACATATTTCATCAGTTTTCAAACAAATTACAGGACTATAATCTTTCATTGGTGTTTGTTCTTTGGACGAGGCATTTCAATTGTTTTAGGCATGTGAGGTGCCAATAACATGAAACTCTAACATCTAAAAAATAACAGAATAACTAACAGATAAACTTT